TAAGTAAGATAACATCTGTCCTTACTGGCACTGTTGGAAATGATGTGCCAATTCTGGCAACAACAGCAGTGGGAAATAAACAAAGAACTAACAGGGATTATGGAAGAGAGAAGAGCTGAACATTCATACCAAGGCAAATAAAAGGACTTTGGAACAAAACATGGCCAAAAAAAAAAAAATTGAGGCTAAAAGAAGAAAAACTTCAGCAAGTGAGAAAAGGATTTGTATTTTTTTTTTTTAGCAAGTAGAAGAATGTCATTTGAAGGAGTAATTCTTGTTGATTGTTGGAGTTTGAATGTCTCCTCGGGATGAACATTAAACATTTTACCAAAGAACTTTTAAAATCTGAAAATATTAGGTTCAACACATATTGTATGTTCTACAGGAATATCAACATTACATGTCAGGATTTCATTTCAGGTATTTCAATTAATTCATATTATATAAATAATGTATTTGTTCTGTTGCAATGATATAGTTAATGAAAATGGAAAGTTTCCTTCGTAAATGCAGGTGAATACTCCTTGCTTGTATTTGCAATTTTTCCTGAGGGTTCAAAATAACATATTTTAAACATATTGTCTTGATTGGCTTATCCTTACATCTCTTATTGAAAATGTTCTGGTTATAGGAATGAATTATTACTTAATGTAAAACAGAACAATATCATAAAAAGATTCAATGTTTTCCTATAATAGTCAGTTACTTATCATTTTTTCATTAATCATTAGTAGTTCCATGGTATGCTTGTGCCATTACAAGCCTATACCTTTTGTTTCAGAATATGGAAGTGTTTTTAAGAAGAATTCCTTCTACTGAGCTTGAAACAGTTAGCTCAGTTCCCAGCTGTATAGGACAGTTCTTGATGGACCTATATGGTCATCTGTTTTTAAATGGAAGTCATACAGATCTCAGCAGGTTTCAGTAATAACCCAAGTTTAGTTTATCCATATAAACAAGTAACGGCATATCTTTTGTTTACTACTCAGCTTCTGGAGTTGTCATATGGATAATTTAAGGGTTTTTGTTTTTATTCACAACCTTTGGCATCTTGTTTAATTTAGTTCTCAACGTCTTGATTTTGTGTTGAATTCAGATAAACCTTCATTTTTGCTGTTGTAGCTTAACATCTACCTGAGTATCTAATTATCACTTTTTCTGAGAAGATTTGTTCTGGCTGGTTCCAATGGTATTAAAATGGAAGCTATATAAATTATACAAACTTGTCTCCCAGGAGAGAGTGAACCAGTATTCCAGAAAGATGCATTCTTTTTTTCTTACTCACATTTTATTCCAACATCTTGTTCTGACTGTCACTTGTGAGATAGAAATGTGCTCTAACGAGATCATTTGTGTAATTTTATCTGTTGCTCTCATTTCAATCTTATTCAAGATGTCTGTCTGCAAGCTACATTGTTAGGAAGCATCATGACCTTTGGTAGGCATCACCCACTGGTGATTATTTTAGTCCAGAGATGTTTCTAATCATCTTGTTTCTCACCTTTGCAAAAATAACATCCATAACATCTATTTTGAAGCAGAATTTCTGTGTACTTTTATTATTATTATTATTATTTCTTCTTCTTTTTTTTTTTTTTTTTTTTTACTGATTGTATCCTTCTGTACAAGCATTTACACTTTAAGTAAACAATTTTGTTTGGGTAAGAAGTTCCTTTTCTGACCAGAGGCACACTTCTAGGCTACCCTTATGCTTTCAAGTTGTTAGTAAGAAGTGGTTTCTACCCTAATGTGACAGAAAGATTCTTTCCAAATTTTTGTCACTAATTGCTCCTCAATTCTTCTGGTGCTGTCTAGTATCTGAACACAAAATTAATGTTATTAGTGAATTTTTAACGACTGTTTGTAATTATGATTTCCTATCTGTCTGAAACAGAAGCTGGAATGTATGGGAGCATCCTGGGTGTGTCAGTGGATGTGCGTAACACATTGACACTTTTAATGCTTTTACCAAGAAGCAAATGCTTAGTCTTGTAATTGTTAGAATACTCTTATTTTCAATCAAGTACCTGACTGATCAAATTGAAAAACTGAATTTAAAAGACCTCCAAGTCTATTTTGGAGAATTGCCTAGTCAGACATTTCAAAAACTGATGCAGACTATTCCTGTCTTTTGTTAGTAAAATGTTTCAGAGTGAGGTTTATTGCCAAGTGCCAAGGTAAAATTGATCTATTTATGACTTGCTATTTTCCGATTTGAAAAAAAGTCAGTAAATAGTGTTTTTAATGTATCGCTTTCCTGAGAAGAAAATAAGAGAAGAAATAGTCAATAAGAAGGAAATTCAGGTATGCAAAAATACTTTTATCTGTTTCTGAGGAAATTAATTGTAGCTAGTTGTCAGTGTGTGTTTCAGTTAGAGAGAGTAAACATTCCAGTTAATTAAGAAGAAAATAAGATTAAACTTGAGCTTTGAAACAATACAAAATTAAATTCAGATAGTTAATCTGCAGAAGTCATGATAAGTTTGTGCTATAAGTCTTGCTTATCTCATAATAAAAAAATTGCTGAAGGAAAGCTCATGAAAGCAAAATGCATTCAAGAGTTGTTTCTTGTGTCATTCCTGCTGTCATTTTTTTTTAAATGTGGACATTTTGAGAGCCATACATTCCTAAATATCACCTTAGTTATTCACTGTGCACTATAAAAAGTAAGTAGTATAACCTTGAAAACTCACGGGAGTCTTAACTCAAAAGTGTATTATAGTAAACGTGTGTAAATATGAAGTAAACCATTCATTACAGGAATATATAAAGCTGCACAAAAAGGTTGCAAATTCATTTTGTAAGTTTGATTTCTGCTTCTTTCTTGATTTAAAAACAAAGAGGAATCTGTCGTGAAGTTGTTGAACTAATTTGAACCTGATTTTACTGGAATAACTATGTCTGTCTACTCGCAATTAGAGGTATTTTCCAGAATTTAAAGCCTCTCACATTTTATTTTTCCTTTTGTACCGACTGCCTTCTCTCAGAAGAATACAGAAAAGGTAAGTATTTGGAAAGAATAATTTTGAAATATCAATGTCTACAAGCAGTGTGCTTTGCTCTTGGTTTACTAGATTTATTTCATCAAGCTATACTATATGACACCAAGATTAGACTGGACAAGGCTGAGCTATCCATTCCTATACGTGGTTACACAAAAATGCCACTGATCGCCCCCAAAACCAGTGGGGATTTTTACATGAAAAACTTCCTTTGAGGTAGTAGAGAACTTTAAGAGATTTGCTGGACTCTCTCATGGATATCTATGTCTGTGGAGATGTTAAAAACGATATCTCGATATGGAAGGTAGTGATTCAGAGTAGTGCCGTTCTGAGCATGTATTCTACAAGATGACATTCCTGCTTAGCAAATAAAGCAAATATATAAATAAATACAGATATAATAAAATATAGAGGCCCGGCCAACATGATGCTAACAGAACACAAGTATTTCATACATAAAAATGGTGCATATAATGAAAGGATGAAACAAGCATTCATTGGTAAGTACACATACTGGAATCTGATTTAAATGAATTTATATGGTTGCACCTCAAACATACTTTTCCCTTTAACATGTTTTTATGGCAAATAGAATTTGATTGAAACAAATATCGCTCAACTTTCTTGCCTGTTACAGTCATGTAAAACTTCAATTTAAAGGTATTTAAAACCAATAGAATACCAAAGAATTGTAATGCTTTTGGCATATACTACATGAATAAATGACTACTAAGATTATCTTGAATGTGTTAGTAAGAATGTCTTTCAAAAATTCAAATCTCATTCTGCATTTCATTTTGCAGATCCCTTGGTAAAAGCAAGAACTCTTTCAAGGTACATCTCTATCCAGCTGTTTCCTCCTTTGTACCCATTATACAGACACCCTTACCATGCCTGAATTTATAGAAGTGAAGGCATCCTTGCATAGATAATGAATATTATTCAATAAGTCATTAAAATAATGTTACTCAAAATGTTTAATTACAGAAGGTGCATCATTTTGTTTAGTTGATTACCAAAAACATTTTTCCCACTGAAAACAAAACCTCAGTGGACTCTTTCAGAGGTGGAGAATGGAAGGCAGGAAGTCATCAAATGACTCCCTCAAGGCCATGTGAGAAGAGAATCGCTAGGTTACTTTAACAAAAGGAAATTACATTTTTCTTTTCTGGAGATGTAGGATATCATTCATGTCTGTGCAATTAATAATAGAATAATACATATCTTCCTAAAATGTAAGGTATATTTTCATTTGCTACTAGCATAAAAAAATTATAGCATGTTTCATATACTTGTGAAACGTGGAGCCAAGTATTCATTATTCTCTTTTTGTTCCATTTTGTTTCAACTAATCATGTTTCCATCAGTCATTTCTTTTGCTTGTTACAACCTGAAAGCTGAGGAGGTTCATAGACTTCATTTATAGACTTTGCTTCTGTTGTTGCCCAGAAAAAAAAACTTAATATCAGCTGAATTGTTTGAAGTGGCTGAGTGCAGTGTTGTATGACTAACTTAAAATTCAGGCAGTACAGATAACAAGATTACTCTTTTGACTGAAGACTAAATACTGAGTTACATTATCTAAGAATTACTTTTAGCTTTTAGGTTTCTGGAAAAGTACCAAACCAGCCCCAAACTTGCAGATACCAGCATAAAATAGTCTATCTCCCTATCAGTCTGATGTCTCATTCCCACTCTTCTCTCTTTTTTCCTCCCACAACAAGCAGCATATAAAGTACTTTTATTGTATCCTACATTTATGGGGGAAATACTTCATAAAAGTATTTATTTTGTCATTTGTTGCAGTTATGAAGGCTAAAAATATCCTATGCACTCAGATTGATATTTCAACAGGAGAACATGTAAGGAGATGCTTAATCAGACATTAAAATGAGTTTGTTTATTGTCAGACCAGAATATTTTTTTAGAAACAAACAAGCCAAAAACTATTTTGATTTTAATCAAAAATGTATTTTCCTCATAAAAAATTTCACATACTCACTGTGTCTACTCTACAGAACTTGTCCATTTCATTACACCATGTGTCAATTCTAGTTTATCTGTTCACTGCAAAAACTCGTGGCTAGTGTGTGTATTACAGCACAGGAGGAGGTATTGCTCAGTTCCACTACTCTTATATAATAAAAAAAAAAAAGAAAAATACAGAAAATGTTCTTGGCTATTTGCACTGTATTCCAGACTTAAGTCTCATGGAAGTTCCAGAATGTTGAATTAATCGTATTTGGTTGGTAGAACACCCTTAGAAGTGAGTTAGTTCAGATTCTTCCTTTAATGCTGATTCAGTACATATTCCCATTTCTCAGCAGCAGCGAAGTCCAGGCATATAATTTCTAAAAGAAATGCGCTTTTTTTTTTTTTGCTTTTTTTTTTTTTTGCTTTTTTTTCTTGTGACCTTTTTATTCAGCACAAATGCAGTCATGTGCTTCTTTTTTTCAGCAATTAAGTTAATACAGTGACACATTTATGACATATTGGTTGGAACACCTATTACAGTTGCCTTTACTTCCATGGCTGTGCTTTTTTCTTTGCCCATGTCCCAGAGATGGACTAGAGGAGGATAAAGCTCGTTGAGTGAAAAGGATTGTTTCTTCAGATAATTCCTTAAATAGCTGTGTCCTACATCGTAGTTCATCTCTTGTGAGATGCAGCTGTAGAGATAGACCACAGAGGTGATTCCCAGAAGAGCACCAAGGCAGGCGAGGAATCCTAGTATGTTGCTCTTTTCATAGTCTTTCACGGCAGAGTCCAGTCCTTTTGTGGTTACATTGACACATTGCTTCTTGTTGTGTGGATAGATAGTGGGAATATCTATACAAATTTTGTATTCAGTTGATGGATTTAGATGGGTAAGGTTATAGACCTTTATATCAGATGGAATTCGAGCACTCTGTGCAGCGTGAGAGTTTTCCTCTTTCAGGAAGGCTGTCCATCTAATGCTGGACTTCAGAATTTTAGAACTTGCTTTCCATGAAACTAAAACAGAGTTAGACTTTATGTCTTTTATTTTAATATGCAAGGATTCATTGTTGTCCTGAGGGAAAGAGCCATCCACTTTAATCATGATTGATTTTAAGTCTGCCCCCACTAAATTTGTCGCTATACATGTATACAAGCCACTTTCTTTTTGTGTTATGTCACTTATGTCTAGCGTTCCTTCAGAATGGATGTAGTACTTATTGGAAATGGCATTAGGCAAAAGTTTGTGTCCAGATGGCGTTATCCAGTAGATTTCAGGTTCTGGTTCTGCTGTTGCTCTGCAGTGTAAGGAAACATGGCTGCCGGATTTTACGTCAAGAGTAGATGGAAAACTTTCAGGAGCGATCAGGGGGAGACAGATTTCCATCATTTCCCTGAAGTGAATCTGTCTCACGTTCTGGCCTTGGAATTCGGGAGGGTCCACACAAAACAGTGACTCTGGTTCCATGAAGCGAATATTTGTTTTATTCATGTTAATCCAGCGGATGACACAATCACACCGAATGGGATTGCTGTGTATACTGATTTCCTTCAGGTTAGGCAAGGACTCAATTGTACTGCGGTACAGGGCACTCAGGGCATTGCTGTTGAGCATGAGAGATTCCAGCCTGGGAAGCTTGCAGAATGCATTGGGATGGATATATGATAACCGGGGGTTGTTGGTTGCTTCTATTTTTCTTAAATCTGGCAAATTATCAACAGCAAGGCTATCTATGGAAATCAGTTCAGGCATGTTATTAATTCCTAACTCTTTTAGGTGCAACATATTGCTAAAATCTCCTCTTCGTATTCTGTTAATGGGATTTTTATTTAAATCCAGAAATTTAAGATTTGCAACCTTTTGAAGAGCAATGTGGGGCACTCTAACAAATCTGTTGTCATAAAATGATATGCTTTCTAAATTGTCAAGGCCAACCAAAGCATTATCAGGTATTTCAGTGAGATTTATGCCTGCTAAAACTAAGCTGCGCAGATTGATGAGCGGCTTAAAGTTAAGATCTTCGATTCTGATTATTGGATTTTCTCCAATCATGAGAATCTCGAGATTAGGAATAGCTTCAAACCACTTACTGTTGATCATTTGCAGACTATTTGAATTGAGATGAAGTCTGAGAAGGTTATTGAGGCCTCTGAAAGCTCCCGGTGCAATCTCAGAAAGCAGGTTGTGATTAATGTAGAGCTCTTGTAAATTGTGGAGTCCAGAGAGACATTCTTCAGGGAGTTCAGTAAGTTTGTTTTCCTCAAGGTACACTGAAAGCAGCTGTGGTATTTTTCTAAGATTTATACTGGTCACTGAAGATAAATTATTTTGAGATAAATCCAGACCAGTTAAATTCACTGGGAAGTCCACTGATTGTTCAATTTTTGCAATATTATTAGTCTGTAGAAGTAGAACCTGTGTGTCAGCAGGCAGTCTGGCTGGAAAATTAGAAAGACCTAAATCATTACAGTCCACTGTTGGCGCCTCCATATAGACCGACCTGGGGGTGAACCAAGGTCTGATCTCACATATACATGACTCCGGGCAGTCTGCTTTTCTTCCTACAACTTGTAGTAGTGAAGTAACAACTAGGCCAAGTAGAAAATTAATTTTGAGTTGCATGTCCTTCATCTTAGCTCATAAAAGTATCAAGTTCCTTACTATTCCACAATGATTGTTTTGGAATTCAGTATGACCTGGTCAGTAGATAAAACACACACTTGCGTGTGCAACTGATGAACACTGAAGACTTTTCTGTTGATAATAAGTGGTAATTTTGCAACCAACTTGTCCAGTAGTAAGAGGCATTTTGTGGAAATGAAGGTCAGTCTGTCCTTGATGGCACAAAATTGATAAGCTTTGTGAAGATGAAGCATGTATAGGTGGTCATAGGAGATTAAGCAATTCATTTATTTAGTAGTATTATCTTCAAATCCCATGATTGATTAGTGTTTGCAGGAGTGACAGGATGACCTAAAATGTAAGAAGAGGAAATAATTAGTATAAGAAACTATAAAGTTATAAATTAATTTAGCTATCTCTTGCTGTCTAATATTAATTATTGCAAGTAAAAAAAGAAAATGACTGTGGTGCCTAGAGTATTGCAGTGGTATCTAGATAGCATAAATGAAGTTAATATAGTAATATATCTTTAGACTTGTAGCTTGTCACAAACCCAGTAGAGCATTGCTCTGCAGAACGGTGAGGATCCACAACGTATAAAATGGAATATATCAGTAGGATTTCTCTACATATTTTATGGTCCTTTGGAGTATTTTCTTTTTTCTTACAGTTATCACTAGAAGCAGACTCAGTTATGTTGGCTTTGAAAATGTAAACAGTGAGCAAAATCCTGCAGAGCATGAATATTCAGCTTATGAACATGAAGTTTATAAAATATAAAGAACATAATTTATGTGCAATCAAAGGCAAATGGAATGGACAGAATAATGATTTTCTAAGGCAAACCTGTAAGATTTTTATACAAAAATATATGATTGATAATCCACAGGTTTTATCTTTTTTTTTTCCTCCTTTTGAAGTTGTTTAGGAAGAAAACTCACTTCCTACTATAAAAATTAAAAAGAAATATGTGCATAATAAATAACCTATCATCTTGGCATATTCAGTCAAATTACTGACTTGGTTGTTTTGGCATTAGAATAAAAAAGAAGCGCTAATGGCAAGAAATAGTAATAATGTATGAATGTTTCTGGAGTGGTTAAAAAGAAAAAAAAGCCTGTTAGAAATTTCTCTTCTGGTCTGTAGCTATGTAAGACTCTGTAGTTTGTTGTGAAGTTGCTGGTTTTTTCATGACCCAAATGATCAAATGCACTGAAGGCACAGCATCTTGTAGGACACCCCTTCAAATATGTTCTTTCTTTAGATCTTTGCCATCTACTCACTTTTTCCGAGGCATAAAGTCCTACTACAAGTGTGCATTGCATTCCAAGCCACATAAGTAAAAAGCTTCTTTCTTCACATGGTAAATAGTACACATTAATAGCTGTATTTCCTTCAGAATGCTGCCGGCCTGGGCATGGACTCAAACCAGACATATCTCAGAAGTCTGGGTTATGATACACACTAAGGCCCTTTCTCGCCCTTACCTTTTGTATTAAAATTCACGATGACATTTGTTTACAAACTGTAATTAAGCTCAATACTTCATTGACATTCATAAATAACTTCTCAGGTGTTGCTTTTCAGGTGTTGACAGAATTGGTGAATACTTCAAAGTGTCAACTGTCAAGGATTCAGATCATAGGTTTCCTTTCCAGGCTGAGGAGGAAACGGACATATTGCTCAAATAGGCTTTCTTTATCAATTCAGAAGAAATGTGTTGGAGCAGGTTGAGTGCCATATGATTTGGACCAACTTGAAGTACATTTGGCAAGTTGTTGAGGTTGCTGTATGTTATGTACATTTAAGGACATGTAATATTTTACTTTAACATATGACTGTATTATTAAAATGAACAGAGAATGTGTGTGAAAAACATTCTGCTGTTTTGAAGATTAATAATATGTTTTTATGGAAATGGCCCAGTTTATACCGAAATGTGAAGAAATGCTGGTAGAAAATAATGACAATGTAATCTGTGCTTTTGTTTTGGGAAAACAGGAAAATGTTTTCCTGCAGGAAAATAAAGGTTTGCATGGACAGTGCCTATAACGAGTGCTTTATTTAGACACCAGAGTACAAGGTGATGTGTTAATGTGCAGTACTGTCCCTTTTACTAGCATCTTTCTATAGAAATCATTCTATACCAAAAGCACAGGTATAATTTACTACATTGGCAGTAGAGGTTTTTTGGGGGTCATTTTTGGGTTCAGTTCTTCCTGTACTTTCTACAACACATGTCCTGTTGTCTTCTGTCATTTTATTTGGATTATATATTGCAAATATATAATTTACATATTATATGCAAATATATAATGCCAGTAAGGATGGCAAATACAAAATGTAAGCTTGTAATAATCGAAATGTCATTCAAAATCTAAACCAAATAATAAATTAATTGCAATGAGCTACGTTTAGTGTTGGGAGGCCATCAAGAGGTGCAGAACTTCTGCTCAGTAAGTTTATTGTTGATAATAGTTATTTGGTAGTTTTATTGTTGTTCTCCCATACAGGAATTTCTGTCCTAAAACTGTTTAAATCTTAGTGGACAAGTTCTTTAATTTCTTCTAAAAGTCCGTCTCAATTACTTGCAGTCCAAATTACTGCCTCATGGAATATGATTCATCTCTTCCTGTTAAAGTCATATCCCTTTCTTTAAAAAAATACACCCTACATTCTTGATGTATGTGACTTTTGGCAGGCTAATTATCCCTTCTGTAGACAATAATTGGTGATTCTTAATTAGGTTTTGTTTCATCTACTGCTATTGACAGCCGAAGCATTGGTTTACAAGAGGGTATCACCATTATTTGAGCTGGAAAAGACATTCAGGGAATGAATAAACTGAGCAACGTTTCTCATCACTGGAGCAACAGACAGCTAAGAACCAAGTCAGAGTGGGCAGAAAGCAAAAGAAACACGTCAGGTTTTGGCAATCTTTCTTTTCCACTTCAGCAGTTAGAGAGACAGTGATAAAAACTAAAAATGCAGCAGCTACACTGCAATGTGCCCTGCTGGCAATAAGGCAAACAGTTCACTTCACAAGGACCAATTTAGAGGTGGCAAGCATTTTCAAAACACAGCTGTTCGTACAAAGCTACCTTTCAAACACATCATCTGAAAGAGCCACTTCTCAATTCTTGTCATTAGAACCACTTTGAGCAATTCTATGGACAGAAATCCTGGAAATGTCACTAACCAAAAAAACATGGGGATGACATGTTTCACACCTCACTTTATTACAGTTGCGGCACTTAGATATGTTTTAAAGAAGTAGCCATGGAAATGTATAGACTTGACTTTCAACTTTTAGTATCCTTCTGAATCTGTAAGATACTGGCTTCTTCCTTGTTTGCTGTGTGATCAATAATGGGAAAGAAAGTTTTCTTTTTTAGCAAAATAGATATTTTGCTATTAGAGCACTATTGATTAAAGGACTCAACAGCTTATTTGTACTTGTCATATTTGACATATTTGAAGAATAGGTGCAAAAATTAGGTTTTTTTTTCTGTAAAAATGTAACTAGGAGGTTTTGTTGAAATATGAACGTAAAGTTTGCACCTGAGGAAGAAGTACCAGTTAAAGGACAAGGAGATAATGCAATTTCTTTTTTTTTTAAGAGAATTAATGAAATAAAATATTTCTAGAAGTTGTTCCAGATCCTCTGATACAGTTGCCTGCAGGTATATAAGCTTTGTGAAAATGAAAGGGATTTGTACTTGCTTTTTTTGTCTTTACATTTCACTCTTTGGAGCAGACGGTCATGGAGAAACCTGTTTCTCATTAAAAACACAAATTACCTGTTAACTATAATCTTACAGTTAATCTATGACATATGTCTTATATGCAGCTGTTATATACGCTCATGTTAAAACATGAGTAAGCTTGTTGGAAGTGCCTGTGTTTCTGTCAGTCTCAGTTTTGAGATGTTCAACTTGAGGAAATGACAGCTGATAGTATCAGATCATAGTTGGATTCTTAGACTCTTAGGTTGGTAACCTTGAAAATGATGAACTAAAATTCCTGGTCGTGTTTGAAAAAATCAAGTAGAGCTTACTGTTTGGGATGTTGGGATTTTGAAAGTCTACCTCTTTTTTCTTTTTCTTTTTCTTTTTCTTTTTCTTTTTCTTTTTCTTTTTCTTTTTCTTTTTCTTTTTCTTTTTCTTTTTCTTTTTCTTTTTCTTTTTCTTTTTCTTTTTCTTTTTCTTTTTATTGATTTGTAGAATTTCAGGCTTGCACTGAATAGGTAAAAGTGCAGGATGTAAAGCAAACTGCAAAGAATCTTGTATTTAGCCCTGGAAACAATTTGCAGTGTATGTATAACTATTTCAGCATGTAAGATTTTATTTGTTTTGTGAACTTGTTATGTCTTTTCTTTTTCTTTTTTTTTTTTTTCCCCCACTATTTGGAATGAATTTCCCTGAGGGAAAGCTGAAAGCTTAGAATGTTAAAATGAGAGTAAGAAAGGATAAATTCTCCCATTTTAAACCATTGCAAGACAACAGTGTAAAGATTTTGTCATTTATATGAAGTTATTTATGTTTGTGGGCATCTTGTACTCTGAGGTTTCTTTAATCTAAAAGATAGATTCAGAAAAATATTGTGATCAGCTAGATCTATATTCATGAGAGCTATCATTTCTCTTTTACTAATTGAGTCTGGTCTGGTCTACTTTTCTTTATTATATGTTATTGTAAATTAATTGATATCAGAGGAATTATTACATGACTGCAATTTATCAAGAACTCGCTATAGTTCTATTCTTGCATCAATGCAAAATGATCATATTAAGAGTTAGTCAGTGCAATGCTTTTTGCAGAAAAGCATTGCCATGTAACAATATTTGAATATACAGTCTTTATAATAGATACTTTCAATTCATCAGAGTAAAATGCAAGGCAGAGGAATATTTACATTTGTGTAAAAAGTGTACGACATACACTTTTTTTCTAGAATAACATTTCAAAGAATTTGAAGGAGCACTTCATAAAACCTTTTAAACATGTGCAAAAGATCTAACACTTATTTTCCTTAACCTGTTTTGAGGTGGATTAACCAGTGGTTGACCACCAAATAGCTGTGGGAACACCAGTGTGTGAGGCAAGGCTTTTGTCAATCACAGTCACTGGGCTTGATCGAAATCCCGTGGCATTTTGGTACTCTTACTAATGTTGGCAGCAGAAGCAGAACTGCATCAGAGCCCTAGAGATGGGTGAGGACGACATTGGTCTGAGCCCACAATTTGTACAGGAAGAGGAAGGGTGGTGATTTGGTGAAAAGGACAAAAACCAAAACAGACAAAAAACAAACAAATAAACAAAAGAAAAGGAAGAGACCATGGTATTATCAAA